GAAAGGACTTGTATCGCTGAAGTTTTTCGAAAATAATTTCTACTGAAAATTAACCAACGACCAGAGACGTAACAATATAATTAAGGCTTGTTACTGTAGAAATAGTCACTGTAAGTTAGATATAACTCAGGCTTATTACCATAGAAATTAGTCACTATAAAGTAGATATAACTCAGGCTTGTTACCATAGAAGTTAGTCACTTTAAAGTAGGTATATTACAAGTTTTTTACTATAGAAATTAGGCACTGTATAAAAGACATAATTCCCTTTTGATTTCCAACCTGAATTTTCCGACAATTGTTATTAACACTTAAGTCAATTCTAATGAAAGTTTTGCACATTTAAAAATTTAAGTAATAAATATAATTCTGAATATTATTTCACCAAGTTTTTTACTCAGAAATATTTTAGAATTGATTTTATTTTTTTAATGTAATTCCCGAAGAAAATGATGTTTCATCTTAACAAAGGTAATGGTAACATGATTTTGAAAATCAAGGTTACCAATAAATATTTGTCACTTTTTTTTACATTTGTTATCAAAGACCTGACAAAGATAATGATATTATGATTTCTAAAACAATATGCTTTCCTCTCTTCACACACACAGTAGGGATTCCTTGCGTGTGTGCTTTTACAATTTTGTGAACACTATTAGCCTTGAGCTATCTCTCACCTAAGAAATGTTATAATGTGACCTGCACTAATGCATCATGTGACAGTAGCCCTCCACTAGTAGTAGGACAACACATCCTTCATACTCAGTAGATCCCCATAATCACTTGCACTTAAAATTAACATTATTCTTATCCAATGGCACTGTCTTTAACAGATCTGTTTCTTTAAGTACAAACTTAATCAGTTTCAAGAGATTTGCACTACCTTTTCATAGTTTGTTTTAGGCTATATCGCCAATAAATAACTTAACAAAAAGAAAAATTGATCTGGAGAATTGCTGCAACAACAATGATCTCTCAAGTGATTGTGACCTACTAACTCCTCCAGAGTTTCTTCTGACTTGTCCCTACCTACTTGGTTTCTTTGTTGGAATTTTCTGGGATGTGATGTTCTTCTCTCTACCAGTTGTCTTCCCAAATCTTATTTCCAAGTGTCTCCTTCTGGCTCCTATTCTTCACCATGAAATCTTTGAGGGTGCTTCTAATGCCTTGGAGACTCAAGCTGAGGGTACCTGATATCAGTCCTCCCTTTTCTTTGTGGTTTCTTGTCTCTCACAATCTTGTGAGTCCACTTCTGTTCCTCAAAACCCATGAACCCTCCACATCTCTCTCTCTCCCTTTTATCATTTCTTGTTCCTCTACAACTTTTCACTATCTTTCCTTTTCATCTTGATTAGCTGATCAACTTTTCCAAATTGTTCCTGACTGAAACTAATAATTGGTCTACCTTGGAGTCTTTTTTAATTCTCGACTCAGTCAGATTCAGACTATCCCCATTCATCTGCAGGACATGAAGTGTTTAGTTACTTCAACTCTTGCATCTCCTGCACTTCCTGTATGAGAGGTTTTAGTTCTTTTGGAGACTCTCATCTCTACATGTAACAGGCGTGTGGGCAGCCCATGAGCTTAGTCATTGTGTTTGACTGTACACTCCTTACAAAGTAATTTATTTAGATTTTGGGTTGTGCTGTCATGAGCAGAGTACACAAGCCACCAACTCAAAGACATTTACATGTGGAATAAAGAACTTGCACAGAGACAACTAATTACAACTCAAATAAACTCTTTATTTATACGCTGTTCATTTATATCGAAACTCTCAGGGTTGTTTTGTGATAACACTACTAAAAGTCTAGATGTTTGTTAACTCTCTCAACACGGACTCGATCAATTTGACCAACCATGTGACCTCTTTGTACTCGTATAAAGTCTTTATAGATTTGATACAAATAACTTTTAATATAGTATGTATATCTTTACAAAATTTGACATTCTTTCAGTAAACATTGTCTTTCACGTGCAAAAAAATCACATTTTTTGCAAAGTATTTTAAATAAACTAAAAAAAAGATTTGTTTGTAAATATATCAAGTATTTGTTTTGAAAAGTGATTTTCATGTTAAAATTAAAAATACTTTTTTTTTCATCTGAAAAATCTCAGATTTGATTTGTGTAATCTCTAAAACCTCCTAAATACATTTAAAATGTTTCTTTCAATGAAACTATATCTTATCTGTTATTTTCTCTACCCTAACTCTATACAACATTGGTCAATTTGACAGACCTCATAACCACCAAAATAAATCTAAATTACCCATTTTTCCTTTCTAAAATGACCTCAAATTGTAACATAAACTACATTTGTTTCTCCTAAGTGACCTTAAACTTGTAACAGTATACATATATTTATAATTAAATTTTATTGTTTCATTGCCCTATGAACCATGTCTAACTACTATTCATGCCATTATAAGTTGTAACTCACTTGGAGAATGTGAAGGTCACGTTACGCTGTCTAATTACGTTACCCACAAGCTGCTTGCCTATGTGCCTCGTGAAACATGTTTTTGATATTATTTTTATTTATTTTATCTAATCTAACCTGAAGAGATCCCTATTTTTACATTTTAGTTACTTTTATAATAATAAATAAAGAATAAACATGAAAAACAAGAAATAAAGTACTTACCCAAATCTTTTTTTCTTTGTGTCAGTTGTCAATGACACTTAAACCCTACTTTTTTTTTACTAATGGTAGTAATGCACTAAATAATTTTTATTTAATTAAATAATGCACCAAAGAACATAGAAGAATAACATGCAAAAAGCAAACAATATCCCTCTTAACTCTCACAATTTTCCTGGCTTTTTAATTATGCGACAAGAGCTGTTAAAAATTGATCCAAGCTAGTCGTTATCCATGGGAAATAAGCTTATACTAACAGTGAAATTGACAATTCTATGTCCAAAAAACAACATAATATAGTATGTCATTTGACAGATAAAAACCTTAGCTTTTTTATTGGTTATAGATAATATAGAATTAAACATAAGAGAGAGAACTATTAAAAAATCCTGAAAGAGAGGATGTGACAGGTGGGTGTGGCAAAAGCCCTTCTATTATATTCAATAACATAGATACAACATTAGTTAAGTTACCAATCAAGACACACGGTAGTGTGTCATGTGGCCAACACAACCTACTGCACTATGTGTTATTAACAAAAGTGATAGTTTAGCGATTTTTCCATCTACCAAACATGCTAGAATCAAAATCATCCTCATCATGATCTCCATTATGACTTAAATCTTCATCACCAACAGAATCAATTTCATTGTTCATGTCTGACTTCCATATCTTGGCTGCACATTCTGTAGAGATGTTAGATAAATTTGTACTAAATTTCCTTTTCCTCATTTTTGCCATAAGCTTATCCAAGGCTGCTTCTAATATTTGCTCCTTTTCGTACAGAATCATTTGTTTTAATCAATAGAAATTTATCTATAATTGTGCATGTTTTAAACAGCCTCTGTTCAGTGAGGAATAGCTACTGTGTCCAAAGAGGTATCTGTTAGAAATGCATTTTCAGGTAAGTTAAATATTAACAAACTAAATAATGTTTTATGCATTATTTTAAACAGAACATAGATACTGTGTAGAAATTCTATTGTAAATGTTTCCACTTTGAGAAGAGGGAAATCAGTGAAATGATTATACATCATGGATAGAGCCTTACTAACACTGTTACTGGTGAAATTGAATTTTGTTTCCACAGGGGCTTCCAGCACCCATCTCTGATAATTCAGCCCACAGGAAATCTGAACCAGAGTCACGACAGGTTGGTGCAGAACCTATGAAGATAGCATGGAGATATACAGATCTTCCAGTTGTTCAGGTATAAATATTCTGTGTCAGTGTGTACATTTCTTCAAACCTGTAGTTGATATAAAACATTTAGTGAATGAAAATATCTACCAGCAGTAAATGTTTTAAATTCTTTATTGACTTTTCTTACATAAAATTCAATTCTGCTCATAAATCAGTTACATCTCACTAAAGTTTCTTACAGCATGTATTGAAAAGATTACAAAAGCTGTTACTTAAAAAAGTTAATAGTGATGCAAATATTATATTACAACACTAATTACAGAAGGTGTTAACTTAAAGCAGTAAACACTGATACAAGTATTGTATTACAACACTGATTACAGAAGGTGTTAAACCTTCTGTAATCAGTGTGATACAATACTTGTATCACTGTTACTGCTTTAACCACTTCTGTAATCAGTGTTGTAATACAATACTTGTATCACTGTTACTGCTTTAACAGCAGTAACAGTGATACAAGTATTGTATCACACTGATTACAGAAGGTGTTAAAGCAGTAACAGTGATACAAGTATTGTATCACACTGATTACAGAAGGTGTTAAAGCAGTAACAGTGATACAAGTATTGTATTACAACACTGATTACAGAAGTGGTTAAAGCAGTAAATACTGATACAAGTATTGTATTTCACTGTTCCTTAGGAAAATCTTATCACTTCTAAAGAGAACTGGTATTGTGGATTTCAATTAATCTTTACATAAGTCATGTTGCTTAGTGTAATATTGTGATTTTAAGTTTATATTTATATGACACATTTTGTTTATATGTGCTATAATATTCTTTGTTGTTGTATTTTGTTCAGCCTGCTCCTGCTGTCCACCAGTTTGGACATTACTATGATGTCAGCCTGGTCATGGACAGTAAATTAATGCAGCAGTGTGACATAGAAACCTATGATATTTGTGAGGGAAGCACGGAGTCTCCTCAGCAGTTCAGTGGTACACTTCTTCCCCAGCCATATCAAATGGTTCTCTATAAGATCTGGAGAAGACTGAAGAAGGGAAATTTTTTGACATCATCAAACCCAGCTCAACCAAACATTCTGAGGATTGGCATTCACTCTTTGGGATCACCCTTATGGAGAACTATTAGTGATTCAGAAAGATCCAGTTCTTCAGACAGTCCTATGTTTAAGTTTCTGCATCTTCTACGGGCTCTTCTGAGGTCAGCATATGCAGTGTGTGTGGTTACTGTGCCGTTACATCTTATTCAGGTTGGTAAAAATAAGTTATGGACTAGGGTAAACTATTGTTACCAGTGAATCATTTGATTGTAATCTCTACAAGTTCTTGTTCCATGATGCTGCCCTCACGTAGTTAACAGTGAGAGTTCCTAACTCATGAATCATTCAATTCTATTCTCTACAAGTTCTTGTTCCATGATGCTGCCCTCACCTAGTTAATAGTGAGGGTTCCTAACTCATGAATCATTCAATTCTATTCTCTACAAGTTCTTGTTCCATGATGTTGCCCTCACGTAGTTAACAGTGAGGGTTCCTAACTCATGAATCATTCAATTCTATTCTCTACAAGTTCTTGTTCCATGATGCTGCCCTCACCTAGTTAACAGTGAGGGTTCCCAACTCATGAATCAGTCAATTCTAGTATCTACAAGTTTTTGTTCTGTGATGCTGCCCTTACCTAGTTAACAGTGAGGGTTCCTAACTCATGAGTCATTCAATTCTAGTCTCTACAATTTCTTTTCACTCAGGATTTGGTTCAATTAAGCGGTAGAGATCTCACAAATTAAATGTTCTGTTTCACTTTGTAATAAAGGGGTTGTAATCTCATAAGTAAATGCTATGTTTAATAGTTGTTTTTCCATCCCTTTTTTTCATCAGTAAATTAACTTCAAGTTGATTTTAATGAGAGTACATATTTAAACTGTAAATCTTTTCTGAATAAATATGGTAGTTTACTAGAATTTTTTTTACACATTTTTTAAATTTCAGTTTCTTTCAATGTTTCAACTGATAAACATTAATAGCTAGTCTTAGTTTTCTTAAACCAAACAGGTAAGTTTTAAGGGTGGTATTTGAGAGATTATATTACAATTTTAAGGGTGATAACACTATTTTATGCCATCATACTATATAGAAGGGTAACATGTTGCTATTTCTTATACATTTTTGTAATATAATTATATAAAAAAGTGTAAGAACTATAAGATTTTTGAAATGGTACTTCCTTCTCTCTCCCATAACCATCTCGACCTTCATTTGCCCTCTAGGCATTGGTAAGTCTTATGAATAGCACACCAGTCTTTTATACCCCTCTGTTTTTTGTGTCATTGCAGCAACATGGGCTGATCATGTGACCACCCTCCACCACTCCAAATGTGCACTCTATACTAGGGCAGGCAGCTACCTCTACTATTGCAGCACAATCCTCACATTCTCGATTGGCACTACAGTGTTCAGATGTGTGTTTCAGTTGTTCTTCAAGCAAATTTTACCAAGTTTTTGTGTTTCTTGCTATCTTTCACCTTTAGTTGGAATTACTTGTTCATTTAGTAGCTCTATTACTTTTTTTCAAAAGTCCATGTGGACTTATGAATTTGGATTTTCACGAGCCAGATGAAGAAGTTCATGCCAGTATGGACGAAAGTCATGTCACTCACTAGTCTCCAGCATGGCGAGTTGCCAATGTTGGCTGAAGAGATTCAAGCATTAATTCGGCGGGAGCTAGATGGTTTCACTGTCTCTTTTGTTCATTCTCTTTTCTCTAGGACCACACTTCTGAGTAAGTTTTTGTCAGGGGGAGGACAATTTTGACTCGGTTTTTCCTGCCCCAGTTTTTTTGAGTCAGTTGCATAACGCTGACAGTCAGGAGAGTCTGCTTTCTTACACCTTATTGCTCAAGTTTGTCAAATTTTACGTCTCTCCTTTAGCCCTTGATTCTTCTACTTCTTCCTTGCTGAGAGAACAGCTTCATTTCAATTATTATTATTTTCCTTCCTCTCCCACTTTGGCTTTCTTGATAGGTGCTTCCCCTGGATGTGTTTGACCAGGTGGACAACACTTGTTGATTTACAAACTTATGCAAGGTGCTTCCATATTGTTTTGTCCTTGGACTGCACTTGGCATAATATCATATCCCAAAGTGCTTCCCATGGATGTTTTCTGCTCGGGCGGAACGCACTTGGCCTATTCATATACAGTCCTCTAGCCCTAGCGATGTACTCTTTTCATTTCCGCCCTACATGTTTTATTTTTTGTACTGGGTGAGGAGCATATCTCTTCCCACAGATATGCCTTGTATTTTAATAGTTGCATACCTGTTTTTTTCATAGTGGTCACTCTCCACTTGATTATTTGTTTTTGCACCTTCACCGGCTCCTCTACCTTTGCAATGTTGGATTCTAGCTGTTGTAGAGAGGAAGTAGTATTGTTTTGGGGTTAATATTTTCTAACACTGAAAATGTTTTCCGATAGATACTTACCTGTACTCACCCACTTTCCACCCTTCTTCCCACTGATTTGCCAGTGTTTTCGGGTTTGTATATGCCAATTCTCGAAAATGAAAATTGTGCTGCAATGGTAGAGGGAGCTGTGCTAGTATAGAGGGTGCAATGGAATTGGTGGAGGGTGGTCACATGATCAACACATGTTGCTGCAATGATGCAAAAATATAGGGATGTAAAAGATGTTTCCTGTTCATAAGATTTATCTATGCCTAGAGGGCAAATGAAGATTGAGATAGCAATGGGTGAGAGGATGTAAGTACCTATGAGAAATACATTTTCAGTGTGAGAAAGTGTTAACTTTTAGCCATGACATAACAGCTCACAGAATGACTGAGTTTTTTTTCATGTACAAACCTTTAGCTCATAGCTCCATTTCTTGACTGATTTGAGATCTAATTACAGCCACAGCTATTGGGGATTATATTTGTCAAAAGACATTAGTGTTAAGCCTATTATAAGGCCTTTACTTTGGGTGGTTTTATAATATTCTATGTGGGAGATTATATAAAGCTACATTTTTTACTTCTGCAATCTTAAAATGAAAGTTTACTATTTTAAAAGGATTACTATCATATCCACGTAAGACATTGTGGGTTGAAGCACGTAGGATTTACCTTTTATTCAGCCGTTTTTTCATTACTAGTTTCTAACCTGAGAAATAACCAGAAAGACAACTTATCCCCAACATTTTTTATGTTATATTACTGCAGTTATCTTTCTAAAATTATAACATTTGCAGTGTTTTACAATGATTATAATTCCTCTTTTTTTCATTATCAGCTCAAATTTATTCTTCACTGTTTTTTGATACTGGATTCTTTTGATGATAATTTGTTTTGTAGTTTTGTATTTTTATAACTGTATATAGAAACTTTCAGGACGTGGAGCGACTAAGATTTGAGTCAGACACCGTGGTTAAATTAGAATCTTTTGCTGGATCAGACAAAGAGATGAACCCTGTATTTAAAGATTATCATGGTAATGATTTTTATGTAACATCAAGTTTAGAAAATATTAGAAGTGTATATATATCTAGACTTCAAATCAAATCTCATTTTGGAATGACTAGTATTTAGTTTTTTGTGCTTTTCAGTTTGATATAAACAGTCAGCATCCCATAATCAAGAATTCTTTAAGAAATTGCTAAAAGAGATGTAACATTTTATACTGTAATTTAGCAAATAGTGGATTAAAGACACTTAGTAATGTGAAATTACCCTATATTTCAATAAATGTAGTAAAACTTGTAATAACAATGACACTCTTTTTGTGATACTTAAAAACATTCGTTTTTATAATTTCTCAATAAAGTTTTTGAATGTCTTTATTTTTCAGGACTTTTTCATATCGTGAAACTCCCACGGTTAAATTCTCTGACTTCATTTATTCCAGAGACTAAAGATCTTTGTTTCCAACTTAAAAAGAAAAAGTTTGCTATTGAGGTAATGTAAAGAACAGATATTTGGTCATTACATTCAAATTTTATAATTTCTACATGTATATCATAGTTTTACTGGACACTACTTCTATCATGGCTATATTTGATTTTGTTGGTATTAACTCTTTCAGAATGGGCATCATTTTTTGTGCATGTCAGGAAGTTTTAGTCAGTTATATTCAAAATTTAATTAAAATACTTTCTTATCATCATATATAAATAAACATGCATAAAAATGTAGCTGATAACCCCAATTTTAATATTATATAAATTTTAACTTCTTAATTTATAAGGAAATATTTAAAAAAAAAATCCAAAATTTCCCCTAGTGTGAGAATTGTGGCATTTGCTCTCTAGATATCCCTTCTTTTCTAATTTATTTAACACCCCTCCAAGAAGTATGAACTTTAATGTAAATTACTCATTATAATGTTGTCATTGCTCAGGCAAAGCATAATTTTTATAGCCTTCAATCTTATTTGGTTATAGAGCCATAAAATACAAAATCAGACCCCACTTGCCACACCTACCTACACATCTTTCATAAATTTCAAATATTTCTCTATTACATTTAATACTATATTATTTATAACCAATAGATACCAAAGGTTTTAATCTGTCAAATGACTTATTATATTATGTTTTTCTCTACAGAGAATTATCTATCTCTCTTCAAGTTCAATCTTTATTCCCACAGGAAATACTTCTATGAACGTAGCGGAATTTTTAACAGCCCTTGTTGCATAGTTAGAAAACCAGAAATATTGTGATAGTTATGGTATATTGTCTGTTTTTTGCACATTATTATTCTGTGTTCTTTGGTGCATTATTTAATTAAATAGAAAATTATTTAGTGGAGTAGTACCATTAATATAAAAAAGTAGGGTTAAGTGTTATCGACAGTCAATGGCAAAAAAAAGAAGATCTATGTAAGTATTATACTTCATGTTTTTTATGTGTATTCTTTATTTATTATAATAGTAACTAAAATTTAAAAACTAGAAATTTATTACATTAGAAAAGGTTAGATTAGGTAAAATAAAGAAAAAAGAATAACAATTAAAATTTTTTCACGAGGCATGCTTCTGAACAGCTTGTGACTAGCCCCCATACATTATGTAATTTGATAGGGTAACATGAGCTCCATGTTATAGCAAGAGTATTAATTTAGACATAGTTCAAGGAGCAATAAAATTTAAGTATAAACAGATGTATACTGTTACGAGTTTAAAGCTATCTAGAATAAACAAATGTAGTTTCATGTTACAATTTGAAGTCATTCTAGAAAGAGAAAATTTAGGTTTATATCGATTTTGTTTTTGTTTTTTTGGTGGTTATGAGGTCAGTCAAATTGACCAATGTTGTATAGAGTTAGGGTAGAGGTAATAACAGATAAAATATATAGTTTTGCTGAAAAATAACATTTATGAGGTTAAAATGAAATTAGATAAAATTAAATTAAATATGAAATTTTTCAGATGAATAAAAGTATTTTTAATCTTAACACGAAAATCACTTTGCACTCAGACTAGTAAACAAAACTACTCCATATTCACAAATCTTTATTAAAAATATTTAATTAAAAAATCTAAGTTTTTGTGTACAAAAGTCTTGTAATATTTATAAATCTGTGTCAGAATTTTAAAACCCGATCTTTGCCAATTGTCAAAATAAAAAGGTTTTAGTTATATTTCTTAATAGTATGAATACCTACTATGTTGTTGGGCTTAGGATTTTTCTACAGTAGGTGTCTGTGATTTGTTAGCAATGAATTCAATGAAGAATAAATAGCACGCACTTCACTTGTTTTCAAAATACTATATGTATTCATAACATACAATAATAAATTCTTCAACACTATAGATATTATGGGCATATCATAAATACTATATATGTAGTTCTCTTCTTGTCAAGTATCCACTTAGGCTTATTCAATTACTTTAGAATTTCAGTTGATAAGTCGAACTATCGTCTATAGTTCTATCGCACTAGTATTCTCTGTGATTCACTTACAATAATTGTTTGGTCTTCTTTCTTTTGAAGATCCTCTGTTCTTTTTGTCAAAGTGCACTCAGGCTACTTCAGTTACTTTGGAACCACGCTTTGTTGGAATAAAATTATTTTTCTTATCTTCTTTTCTACTGTTAGTTTCAATCTAACATATTAAATGTTAGGCCAGTTTCAATCGTTAGGCCTATTACTTCTATGATAATTAACTTCACACCAACTTTATTCTCTTTTGCTATTATCTGTCTGCTGTTTCCTGCTCGTCTCATGCTGTTTATATCCTTACCACTTAATCATCTGTCTCCCTATTTTCAACGTCAATGATCAGCTTTTAACTCTTATTATAACAAAACTAATCTGTTGGTCTGTTTGTTAATATATTATAGAAAAGATGCATGGAATGCATGTTTCTATAGAAATGTTGGCAATATCCCACACTCTACAGAATAAAAACAAAATCAGAAAACAGATAAAATGGGATAGAAAAATATATCATTTTAAAACAACGTTTTGCCACTGTTAACGTGGCAATATCAGGTAGTTAGTACAACTAAACACTATTAGTGACGTCACAAACATAACCTTCAGCTTAGCATAAGTATAAATTAATCACTAATATCCAAACCAAACAGTTTTTTATATCATGACATAACCCCCTCTTCAAGATCAAATATTTTTTTTTATTATTACTATATACAAAGACTGTTCTTAGTTCATACACAAAGTCTGCTCATACAGTCTGCTCCAACATTTGCAGTCCCTTTAATAACTTCAATGCAGAACCTGTAGTTCTGAAGGTACAATGCCCACCTCATGATCCTCGCACTGTTGATCATTCACCTCTGAATGTATGGAAGTGGTTGATGGTCTGTCTGGAAGATGAACTTCTTCCCATATAGATGGCCAGGTGGTTAGGGCACTCGATTCACAATCTGAGGGTCGCAGGTTTGAATCCCCATCCCACCAAACATGCTCGACTTTTCAGCCATTGGGGTGTTATAAAGTGACAGACAATCCCACTAGTCATTGGTATAAGAGTAGTCCAAGTGTTGGCGGTGGGTGGTGATGACTAGCTGCCTTCCCTCTAGTCTTACACTACTAAATTAGGGACAGCTAGCGCAGATAGCTCTCATGTTGTTTTGTGCAAAATTCAAAAACAAACCCATATAGATAGTTCTGGAATTTCTGAATGGCAAATATAATGGCCAGACACTCTTGTTCAATCATGGAGTAGTAGTTCTCACTATTTAACAGCTTATTACTTATATATGTTACTGGAAATGGTCCATCTTCATGTTCTTCCAATGTCTGAAGCATCAGCCTGAACAATGAATGGTTTGTTGAAGTTTGGCATTCCAAGAATTATTGAGCTTCCCAACATGTTCTTTAACATCTGGAATGCCACCTGGTGTGGTTGTTCTCACTTCACCTTGTGGGCAAGCCTTTCTTGTTCAGGTCAGTCAATGGTGCAGTAATTTAGGATGAATTTCCTGTAGTATCCCATTAACCCTAGGAAGGATCTGACTTGCTGCTTGATCATTGGAGTTTGTGTATCTTGTATGCAGATTATCTTTTCCTTTTTCGTGGCTATCTGTCAGTCCCCCACTTTATGTCCAATAAACTTCAGCACAGAATATCCGATGTAACACTTGGATGGACTGATGATGAGGCCTGCTACCCTTACTCACTGGAAAAGTTGTCCAAGTCTCTTCAGATGGTCTTCCCATTTTGCAGTTGTGTCAGAATGTCATCCACATAGTGCTTGATGTTGGTGGTGTTTTGAAGCATCAGCTTAAATTGGTAACAACCATCTGGTGTCACAAATGCTGTCTTCTCTTTAGATCCCATCTCCATCAGGATTTGCCAATAACCTTTACTGAGGTCGATCTTTGAAAGAACCTGGCCCCATATAGTTTTGACATGATGGCCTCTGGGTTGCCCATAGGTTCAGAGCCGAACTTCGTCACGAGGTTCATCTTCCGGATGTCTATGTAGAAACGGTTTGATTCTTCCCTCTTCTTCACGATTACAAGGGGTGAACAGTAGGCTGAATTTGAAGGCTCGATGATTCCAGCTTCCAACATTGCCTCAACTTCTTGCTTTATCAGATCTCTCATTGCATATGGCATCTGATAGGGCTTCACATTGACTGGATTCCTGGTTGCGGTCTCGACCTTGTGTTGCACAATGTCTGTCTTTCCTGGTTTATCCATGAAGATATCTGTGTACTGGTACAGTAGGTCTTGTAATTCTCTATTTTCCTTGCCAGTTAGGTCGTCACTGATGTTTACATCTTTGTATGTTTCATCTCCAACTTGTGGTCTTAGGTCTACTAGGTCCTCATCTTCTAAGACAAAGTCACTGTCTTCTGGTTCTGCATCTGTAATGGCCACACCTTCAACATCCATCTCTGTTTCAATAGCTGCACCCATTAGGCCTTCTTCTCTCCCAAAATACTTCTTCACATTCACACCCACCTTGTAGTCCAGTCTGTTGATTACTTCCTGTACTTCAAAAGGTCATTTTCATTGCTGGGTAAGTTTGTGGTCTGTGGGCAGCAGAATTAATACCTTTTGTCCAACCTTAAAATGTTGATCCTTGGCTCATAAAAATGCTTCTGACTACCTTGAGCTGCATACAAACTCTGTCGAGCGAGTTGACAGGTCTCTTCCAGTCGGTTTCTGAGGTCTAACACATACTGGTATGTGTTCCTTACTTCTGACTCTTTTTCTCCCATCCATAGCTCTTTCAATATTTGCATCGGACCTCATACTGTTCTTCCATACAGTAACTCAAAGGGTGAAAATCCTGTACTTGCTTGTGGGACTTCTCGATAAGCATATGATACTGCCTGCAAGTACCTGTCCCAGTCATGTGGTATCTCTTGGCACATCTTTAGCATACTCTTTTAAAACTCCATTGACTCTCTCACAAAGTCCATTACATTTAGGATTATATGGGGTGGTAAAGAGTTGCAGAGTACTGATGAGTCTGCAC